AGAAGAAGAAGAAGAAGAAGAAGAAGAAGAAGAAGAAGAAGGAGAAGGAGAAGGAGAAGGAGAAGAAGAAGAAGAAGAAGAAGAAGAAAAAGAAGACAAACAACAACCACAACAACCACAACAACAACAACAACCACAACAACAACAACAACAACAACAACAACAACAACAACAACAACAACAACAACAACCACAACAACGAGAAGAAAAAGAAGAGGAAAAAGGAGAAGAATAGTCTTGTATGTAAATCAGTGCTATTTCTGCATATCTTTGATGGAAGCAAAGCACTACTAGGACTTCAAAAGTCACGAAAACGTAGCAGCTCTGCCAAGGAAAAATGCCAAGAAAAAGAATATCCAGAAGTGTCGATAGGGACGTAAAACTTACACTTCTAAAAACTCATCATCATCATCATCATCATTTCTAAAAACTCATCATCATCATCATCATCATCATCATCATCATCATCAACATCATCATCATCATCATCATCATCATCATCATCATCATCATCATCATCATCATCAACAACAACATCCGATGCCTTGCCGACTGGCGTGGGCGATCATGGATTTCTAGAACTACTTAAATTGTTTATTACTAATTCACAGCGGTATCCCACAGACAGTCTGCATTCACTTTACCTGTGAACATAACCGAAACCTCTCTTCCGGATCTTGTCAACCGTTTTGTTTCGTTTTGTTTGGTTTTGATTTGTGTTTGCAGTTTTTCTTGTTCAATTTTGTTCAGGGCACTTTATAGTACATTTAACTTAACACAAAACACAAGTGAATGAACGTGTATAGATCTACATATGTGAGGCATCGTGGTGGAATCAGGCTCTCGTCAATCTTGGGCATGTAGACTTATTGGTATCATCTTAAAGCTTGTTCACTTGTCTATATGTGGAGGAAAAACATCCATTTATCTTGAATACAGTCGAGATATTTGCAAAAGAAGGAGGTGGGGGTCACTTGTTTTCAGGGGTAAAAGAAGTGAGAAAATGGCCGCCAAAGATTAGTTATTTCCTTAGCTTGAGAGTCCGTGGTAATTGAAAATTTACATTTTCTGTGCCTTTCAAAGACGTTTTTCAGAAATATCTACACAGAAATGAGTTCTTTAATGAGCATGAAAGGTGTTGAGCCCAAAAACGAAAATTTGATAAATATTCATAAACCTGCGGAAAAATGCAAGTTTCTTCACTTTGATTATTTTGACAAGAGCCTGATTTCACCACGCTGCCTCACATATTATACAAACCTTCTTTGGAATAACGTGGGTGGTTGGCGGGTGCTCTGGTATGGTTTGCTTCTTCTTCCCTATCAAACATCTGTCGTCCTTATCTCCCCTTCTTCTTTTTTGTGTGTTTGTTACTCTCTTGTAACACCTCTAATCTTCTGGCGCTCATATGACCTTATGCAGTTGCGAGCGCCGTAAAACGTCTACTAAAACAAAACATTTGGAATAACACTCATTCGTATGGAGGCGTTCACACTATCACAGTACAGTTAATGACAATCTACCCATCATAGTTTATTATTAGTAGTAGTATAGGGTTTTACGGCGCTCGCAACTGCTAAGGTCATATGAGCGCGCTATCATAGTATGAACATAGATTACTAAACCTCAATGAATAAGAAGGAATAACATTCGAGATGACATTTCAGAAAGTTTGTTTTAGATTAATGAATTTGCCTCAGACTCTGTAGCTTTCAAATGTTGAGGGAGAAAGTTCAGGATAGATGGAGCGAGATAAGAGAGGGACACCCTATACCACGACGCGGTGGAATCAGGCGCTCGTCAATTTTACGGCGTTTGGGGGTATTGGTATTATCTTAAAGCCAGTCCATTTGCCCTGCTTCTGGTTTTTAAAAGTATCTATTTATCTTAGATATAAGTCCAGGTATTGGTGATAGAAGGGGGTAAGGGTCGCCTGGTTTCAGAAGTAAAATTATTGAGAAAATGGCCACCAAAGTTGAGTTATTTACATAGCTTGAGAGCCAGTGGAAACTGAAAAGTTACATTTTTAATGCCTTTAATCAACGGTTTTCAGTAAAAATCCACAGAGAAATGTGTTCTTTAATGGGCATAAAAGGTGATGACCCCCCCCCCCCCTTTTTAAAAAAGTAATAAAAAAACCAATAAACAAACAAACCCAAACTTGCGGAAAAATGCTAGTTTCTTCATCTTCATTGTTGTGACGAGCGCCTGATGTCCCTACGCTGACTCACCCCTTTGTTAGGTGTTCTTACGCGAGACATCTCATCTTAGAGATCTTGATGGAACATAGACTAGACGTTTGAGTGAAGTTGTTTGAATATCGTGGGTCTGGAGGGTGGCAGTGGGAGGGAGGGGGGCTTTACATTTAACCCTATTCGTACGTCGCGTTTTATTATCGTATCCATACGACGTAGGGAACTCTGGGCCGCCACTTTCCAAAAAGGAAATTTACTCGTTAATCCCATCCGTAGGCCTACGCTCTGCATAGCAATCTGTCAAAACGATTTTTTAAGAAATACTGAACGTTTCAAAGAGATCTTCGTACAAGAAGTATTCTGAAATGTGAAGAATACAACTCCGGGGGTACAAAATGACCCCAGGGCGTACGGATAGGGTTAACACACTTATCACAAAGAAGAACAATCTTGTAAGTAATTCTAGGTGTTTTTCGAAGCCAACGGAGTTGTCTTAGAGCAGGGACGATTGTGAAAAATTACCATTTTCCTGATTCTATTACTAT